TGATATCTATCAGACAGAAAATCCAGATCTACCTTCCTTAACAACAAGATGGCGCATGGAGCCCCATACACCATCGCGATAGTTGTTAGCATGAAGATCAAGTTTCACCAACTGTTTGACGTCTTCACTTTCCATTCCAATTTGAGCTGGACCAGTACGATTTTCCTTCTTGACACTCATATCAATCAAAGTTCGGAAACGATTTGATTTTAAATTTCTTCACTGAAATAACAATTCTTTCAATTTTGTGTGGATTCCGTAACATAAATGGAAGCACCTTACAGTAAATATTGCTGTAGCGAATTATCCAATATTATGTTGATCTTGACTCCAAATTTAGATAATTATCAATATTAAAGTAAAAAACAGGATGAGAATGCGCTATTCGTCTAGTACAGTGATTTCCAATAGATAGTCCGCTAGAGCTATTAAAAATTATGCCCTTTTTTTTACAATGTTACTCGTAAGTTTAACTAATACGTTAAATGTTTTGATTAAAGTTTACTTTAAAGTTAACAGAACTTATTATTTTTGAATCTTTTGATTCCTTCCATAAAAAAAAAGCCAAAGTAGTCCGTGGTCAGGAAAAGGTTGCAAACTACTGGTTTAGTTATATTGCTTACCAAAGATATACACGAAAAGTTTACATCATTTTTAGCCGCACTCTCTCCAACTCCAATCTTCGTGCTCTGTATGATAGGTATATTTGTTCTGGCCGCAGTTTTACATCCACAAGAATTCCACAACATCTTCTACGGTGAAGTTTTTGTTGCTTTTTGGTTAAGCCATACTGAATGATATGTTGATAGAGCTTTTTGTAGGACTAATATTCTTCCTGATGATACCATGCACATACATCTTCATGTCACTTTATGCACTCATCAATTTGAATATTATAAATTGGGGCACACGAGAAGCTGCGTTTACTACAGCCGGTACTGTAAGTATCTTTGTTAGCATTAATTATATTATTCGAATTATGACACTATTGAAAAGTATTATATTTCAGCACGCGAGCGATACCGGATTCCGTGATTTATTGCGACGGTTAGGTCTTTACAAAATCATCGATTTTGTGAGATCACCACCATCGTGGAATTCCACTATTACTACCACTGCTATTACTGCCACCGCTGCTGCTGTTGAAGTACAAGAAATTAAAAGAAAAGTTGCTAGCATGGAAACGGAACTTCAGGAACTTAAGGCTAGTAACATTGATTTCACATGAATTAGTTTCCTCTATTTTTTTTTTTTGGAAAAGGATTACTATTATCATAGACTAAACTGTAGGAGCGAAATAATTCCTCTTCTGTTCATTTTGATACAACAACAACGGGGCATGCGCATCTTCATTTCCTCTCAGCACCACAGGTTCTACTGGATAATCAAAAGGAACAAGATAAGGTCAACGATTTTGTTTTCTTCTTGATTGATGATCATCTTGTTGCTTGACTGCAAATTGAATGCCAATTTGACATAGGACCTTCTGCTCTCCGCATCGTTTAAAACGCTGGTCTCAAGAGAAAACATAAATCGTTTCCTATGGATGGACATCGAATATCTCCAAGTTTGTAGTCGTGGAAGGTTGAATGCAGCAGAAAATGAATTCTGGGATGGGATGATTGAACAATACCTCAAAGTAAAATCATTTAAAATGTAAAAATAATATAGGTGGATTGTTTTTTCTTTCTTATATAGCAAACCTAATGCATTAGAAAGTTGGCGCGAAGTCTGCTATAAGCTCTCTTGCAAACATTTAAATTTATCTTTCGACTTTTTCAATGGAACCTTGAGATCAGGACTAGTAGTTGATGGAAAGTATGTCGTTGCGATAACAAATTTTTGCATTTTCCTCCTTGATTTGTTGGGTCGTTGAATTTTATGTGTGACGCAAACATCAAGAAATTTCATGAGAATTAAAATTATTGTTATTCCCTTTCGGCATTCATCCTCATCCATTCATGATTTTCTTGTTTGCCAAATTTGTTCTATCAAAAGGCGCAAACTATAGACTAATTTTTTTCTTACTATTACTACGTGCTTTAGATACATTAATATTGAATACTTAGTGAAGTCTATTATCCAGCCTGGATTCTTGTATATTTGATTCAGGAATGCACTGAGCAAAATGAATATAACATCTTTTTTGTAGCCATTGGAAATCACGGAGGAGGAAACGAGACGAAATGTTGCCAATTTAGCCAGTTTAAGAAATCGGATAGCCTCCTCAGTTCTGATCGTCAATGGCTTATTGGTTTTAGCTGTATTTCTTATACAAAAACACAAAGAAATACTTTCGTTCCAATATAAGCCATACGGTAAATGTTAACTTCTTTGATTCTGGGAGTTATGGTATTCCCGTATTCTATTCGATATTATACTTTCGTAGTGACCTACGGTATAGTTCGAATCAATGTCGGGCATTTTTTTTCTTTTGATCTGTTATAAGAATGCAAAACTTCATTGCTAGGACTCTGGAAGGATGTCATTTTAAATTGAATTAAATTATTTGCAATGTTAACAGAAGGTTTTGAGTGGTTAAAGTTGAGCAAGAAGACAGGAAAATTTGAACTTACTGATGAGCCATTGAAAGTTGAACCAATTGGACTACTCATTATCGCATTTTTGCTGATAATCCTGGTAGTTCAGACATGCGGCATGTTTGCTCACAGGATTAACACTTTGATTGGCGTTTTCCACGAGGTAGGATTTCGACAATAATTTTAAATATTTGAATTTCTTTTTCAAACATAGTCCTATTTCTTGAGTAAAATAAAGTTTTCTTATTGAATATTTACAAATTAACTTATCATAGAATGTGTAGCGTTGAATTTTACATCATATCTAAGCACTTCTCTTTTCAGGTTTCAAACATGGAACATCTCGATTTTATCAACAAAAACACCGAGAATGAGAATGAGATCAAAGAAAATGGTCTATTTATAGATTATTGCGTTTAGTTCAGATGAATACATTAAGTTCCATTGGTCTTAACTATACCATCGGTCAGCAGGCTGAAATCAAGGGTTAAAATTCTGACATCGATTTTAGTTTTCAAGAAGTTGTGTACGGCTACGGGTTATGTGCTCTGACAGTTGTGATATGATATAATTCTGTTCAGGTTATTATATTTGATGTGATGATGCTGTTATAATAATGGGCCCTTGAGTTCATTTCATGTCAAAAATTTGTTTTAGCTCAGCAAATGTTTGACGCAACGCTTTATGACAATGCACATGGAGCTGATGGTTACGTCCGCATCCATTATGATACACGTACCACATGCGGTGTACTTTACAGGAAAACTTCAGCAAGCTAGATTGATATATCGATCTGGAGTATCGCAAGTTACGAGACTTTAGTTCTCTTCTGCTACGTTTCTCTTCCTCACTTAACTTTTTTTAAGTTTACTTTAATAGACATCTTCCGTGTCTCTGTTGATATATCAGGCTTAGGGCAAGAGGGACATGACTGTATCCAGGTTAGAGGCTTGCGAGAAGTTGGACAAATTATTTATCATGTATTTAATGTTTCATATGTTTGTATACTCGTATCATGTTTCTCGATTTCCACTGATAATATCACTTGTAGTTGTTGTGTTGTGTTGTATAATTTTGAAATGAATGTTACATTTTATTTCACTCACATGTCTTAATACAATATGGAAATGATAACAAACGGATTGAATTATTAACTAGGAGAATAAATGAATACCTCTGCTGTACAGAAGAATTGGATATACCTCTTCGGCAAAATGAATAACATGAGTCCGGAAAAATGTAATATTATACGGGAACATGGAGGTGATGATCTTGAAGTCCGAGTAGTTCTTGGAAAACAATATTAATTAGATAGTGCATTCGTAATCTACAATTCTAAATTTATCTGGAATCCCAGTTAAATTGCAAGAACAGTGTTATGTCGATTACTAATTGTAGCGATATCAAACTCGTTGAAGATGGTTTTGCAGAGCGATAGTAATGTCATTATCATTAGCTGATTCACCTAGATACCAGCGGCTGATAAGCTTTGCAATATTCCTGTAATTTCCACTGCTTAATGTTGCCATCGTGACCAGAATGTAACGATTTAAACATTGCCAGTCCTGAAATAAGGTGCCACTATCGTGCCAATTTTATGTTTCATCCTCATTTTGCTGGAGATACCGAAATCCGAATACTGTTCTCAGTGAAGTTTAAGTTTAATTTTAGAATTCTAGAAACTCCAGAGGTTTAATTCCAGGAAAAAATCGCATAAGGTATACTCTTGCCAACTTATGCATCATTACCGCATGCTGATTGTTTCGTCGAAGATTGCCAAGTAGTTCTTCTTTCGGAATGATTGGTTTGGTGAATGAATTCATCAACTGATCCAACGTTTGCAGTAACAAAAGCATGTTGCCTCGGAAGTTAGTACGTATAAATTTTGTGCAGTTATTCATTTTGAATGAACCATCTTTGATTATTTTTGCATCTTTACCGCTTGAGTCCAAAATTTCACCACAATTCTCCATCACTCCGCATATACAAATGTCAATCTCCTGTGATTTCACTTTCCTAAATATTTTAAACTGTATATAACTGGATTTTGAATCTGGCTTAATTATCCTGAACTTAATCTGAATTTTCAATTATCAAAATTCTCTACATGCGGAATGTTTCCACATCCATTTTGCTAAGGCCTTAAATTGATTTTTGCCTAGCAATAACAACCCAAACTCAATTATTCGGTTCATGGGATCATTACACGATATACATTCATGAAATATTGAGGATTAAGGACAATGAAAAAGAGACTGATATAAGTGAATATTTATTAAATTTTGAAAAATGGAATTAGAAATATTCACGATGGTACTGGCAATCGTGCTGGCCACTTTTCCAGAAATTCTCGATCAATCCTTGATGTGCATTTTAGGATATTTGTAATCCATCGCCTAGTCCTGCCATCGAGTTCGCCATGGACAACGAGCAGCAGTTCTTCCATCGCTGCATGCAACACCTTTCACTCACGATCAGTTACTGCGCGAAATAAGTTACAGATAATCTTTTAAAGTAAATTTCTCATCTCATCTTGTAAAATGAATGTTGTAGGATGTCATAAGGTTAGAGGCCATTATAACTCATTATTGAAAAGCTGTTAATCACCAATCAGAAGACTAATAAGTTATACCTTAGGAATATGATGATACTTTCGGGCTTGACTGCTGGAGAGAATTTTCACTTGCATTTGTATGTAATCACTTAATTGTATCATTCCTGTTTGAGGTAAAGCCGCACCATGTTTCTTCAGAAACATCTCGAAGTCCTTCACCAATCTTATCTGGTTTTTGCTCTGCACCGAATTTGGCCTATCACATGAATCGATTTGAAAATATTTAGTTCCAGATGTATTGGATTCAAAGTTGAATTTAATTTAAAGATTCCAAAGATTTAAACGAGATTATCAATTTCGAACTTGAAAGATCGCTTGAAATTTTGCCATTATCCTGAATTCATATCGTTTACTGTCTACTCCAATTATGTTTTGATTTTTCAATTTCGATTCTGACTTTGACCGGAAAGAAGCTATACCTTGCAGTTCTAACACGACTGATGGCTTCTGCATATGTGAAATGTTGGGCCCAGATCATATAAGCAGCAATGGCAACACCCGTACGGCCAAGCCCTGCATGACAGTGTATTGCTACCTTTCCTAAACAGATTGAAAATTAAAAGAACATTTAATGAATGACTTCAATTAATTCAACTCTTTTCAAATATCACATGAACATACCTTGTCTGAGAGAACAGTGAACAACTTTCACAATGTCCAAAAGAATGTCAATTCCAAGAGCTCCGAAGTCCGGCCAAACGAAATTATAAAACTGTACTGAAACGATTTTTTTATGTTGAAGGAATGTTGCAAAATTTCTTTGATACACTAGGCTTACTTCCGTTCTGCATCAGTATTTCCGGGTTATATGTGAAACCAGAAGGAAGTAGCTCCGGTCCACAGGAATCATGTTCACCAAGCATTTGTAGATTTATGACTGCACAAATGTTTACTCTGCAATGCAGGCTGTTGAGGTGACATCGTGACATATGAAATGAATCGAGGGAATTTCAATTCCTCAAAAAACCTTATAAAATCTAGATTTTCATGGTCGGTTGGAAAATCGGCTTCAAAAAATGTCGAAACGAACTTGCGGAACTGAGCGATGAGATTATCATCAGTAAATGTTTTAACAGTCGGTCGAGACATTGCCACAATGTTTCCAGTTATCCTATAATAACATTGTTATCGTTAACAGCACTTATTGTTACGAATTACAAAACCTAATTTTTAATTAATATAATGATAAAGGTACTCAAACCATGAGGAATATAACCCTCGGATAGCTTGCTCATTCAGGGACCACGATTTCCATGAACAGTATTTGCAGTTTGCACCATTGCAATATAATTTACAACGCCATGACCAAGGCGTTACACATAATATTCCGTAGCGAATCGACAGATGCGATAGCGACACTATAAACAAAGTTCAGAAGACGGAAAGCTTAAAGAGAACTACATTCTGAGGATTTCCAATTACTTCATTGGTTCAGTGCGGTATAATCCAAAAGACTCAAATTCAATTTCGAAACCTTAACTGTTCTAAAATTACAAATAAGTATTCTCTAGTAACAACTTTCATCCAGAATGTATTGTTTACCTATAAACAATGCATTGTTTATTGTTTACCTAACATACTACATTTTAATTACTAGCACCATATCCCAAAGATTAAATATTTGAAATGTTATGGGTTATGGGTTTACCAACGAGTAGAACAGATAACACAAGAAAAGGCTATCGATAAAAAGCAGTTGCTGATACGAAAACCAATATTTAAGTGTAGTGTTCAGGTAAATTTGTTTTGCATCATTCAGTTTGTCATAAATAAATACGCATAGTATAACAAAGAGGTACCACGTCCGTAACCAGCTGGTACGTTTCTCGTCTCTTTGCGTCCTTTCATTGAATCATTTCAAAAGAAGATTTTCTAAATTATAAATTAAAATATCCGCAACTAATTGAAGTGAATCACTTGAAATACGAAACTGATTTTCGCTTGCCGGAACAATCGAAATATTATTCGGTAATGCTCTGAAAAAGTTTAAACTATGAGGTAAACCTAATTGCAATAAGACGGCAGCCAGATGTAATGAAATCTAAAAGAGGTTGTCATGGGAATGTACCCAGTAACGGGGTAGAATGATTGCACTACTGGTTATTTCGTTGACATGGGATAGATTCAAATATTGCATTCTATACATTGAACTTTTCACTCCCGCTACACCTTATCAAATGAGTCTAGGATTTGCAGAGAATTATAACTCACTAACTCAATTGTAAGCCATTTTTCTTGCCTTATATAATGACTCTCTGCATATCCTCGCATATAAATACACTATGATTAACTTAGAAAAGTGTTATAAAGACTGAAACAATTACCTGGATATATACGCTTAATAACATCCTCAAAAGTATCATGTCGCTGATCGGCAGTGGTTGTTGGCCGCCCAAGCTACTCATTACAAAAAACTACCAGCTGGATAGGTTCATGAAAAAAACTCGAGGTTGTGATAAAAATGAAGTAAAGCGATCGATCATTTATTTTGTGCACATCAACAGGCCACTCAATGAATTTTTACATCCTTCAAATTTTTAAATTAAGTCTTCTGTTCCGTAACAAGCATGAAGTTTACTGGACAATAGTTTTCTTTTTTCCTCCATTTTCCTAAATGTTATCATTGCTTTAGTTATCTTAGTCACATATTTTTTCGATTATAAAATTGTTTTGAAATCATATGGAGACAGTTACATGATGAGATTCCGTCGATCTTGAAGAAAGGATACCGGAATGAATATACAGACAGTTTGAACGATTCTTACATTAACAATAAATTTTACACTCGACGAATTCCAATGGTTTCTTAAAGTCATTTCCAAACTTTCCCAGAACTACAGTAAATTACATCACAAACCCTCATTCAAGATAAATGTTCTGAGCAAAAGATGGTGAATATACTTGATTTACATGATGCTGCAGAAACGCAATTCACATAGATCGTTCAAGCGAATGATCTATCATTGGTGTCATTGATCAGAAGGAATGAAGTTAATTTGAAATGATTCATTGTGATAAATCATCCAAATTACTGACAACCTTTCATATTTTATGCAAAGAACTATCCGTGAAGCTTAGAATATTTATTGCAGTGGAACATTTCCAGTCAAGTAGCCCGTTCAGTGGTCAGTGTGTTAAGTACTTAGGACACACTCCCGCTCTCGCATATAGTTAATACCTGAGATACGAAGAGAGAAAAATTGTTGGAGCACTTTTTTTGTGTTATAGGGCACTTAATATGCTGTAGGAAGTTCGGGAAGTGGTCTGGGAATTTGCAGGAAGAATTTTCAACATTTTCTGGATGAACCGTCTAGTTCTTTGCAGATTACCCACAAAACCGGGGAAAGCGCTGATCAATCTTAGACATTCAATCTTTTATTTCCGGTTTTTTCCTATGCCTTAACATGTTAGATAAGTACTTTACTCGATTACTGGAAATTTATTCCGGAATCTTCTACGACAATTACAGTAACACGCATTTGCAGCAAGCACGACTGATGAATAGTGTTGTTTTGATCTTTACACTTTCCTATATTTCATCCTATTTTTTGGATTTTGAATTTGAGATGTTTGAAAGTTTTAAAGTTTTATTGTAAAGTTTCTTTTTTTTTCATTTATTTCACTGTCATAGCCATTGTCCAAACGCTCTAAACTTTACAGTGCTGAATTAGTATAGGAATATCCCGTTCATACCAGGAGTGCATAAATTGCTCATCTCCAAGATAAATCTTTGCTGAAATACATTAGTGAAGTACTTTTCAATGTATACGACAGGGGAACGAAGGTCTGATTTGTCACAAGTGAGTTTCTATGCGTGTATATGTGTATGCATGTATGTATGTATACATTTTATTTACGAGAACTGCCTTATCGGGAGAGGATAAGTTGCGTACCCTTATGAGGTTGCCAGCCATGCTGGCGGTGGCTTATACCTCTGGTAGGGCCTCCCATGTTAGAATCAACTGAAGGGTCAGACAAAATGGGCAGGATAGGTCCACAGACAGGATAGGCTCGCTAGTCCCCCAGCAGCCATCCTAGGAGAGGAACAACTTTAACTCCAAACCCGGGCAGATGGAGCTCGTTCGCCTTGTAATGCCATCCATCTATGCAAAAGATACGTCTTGAGGATTTCGCTTTTTCAATGTCCCAGCTCATTAAGCCCTGGCAGGTGAACTTTAGAAGAGCGTGGACGGTTCCACCCACGCTGTACCTCATCTTAAAAATCTCCGTAGGCTAGTAGGATACACCAATATTTGTAGCATTTGTAGCAGTTGTGGGAAGAGGTCTTTCCAAATCTTCACAAAGCATAGTCATGAGATGATAATGATGTGTGTATGCGTGTATGTAGGGATAAAGAAGTAAGGAAGGTATTGTGAAGAAAGCGAGAAGGGTAAAGGAATTGATCTTAATGCTTGGAAATACTAAGGCAAATTACGCAACTAATCGGAAGATTTTTTATGAGGAAAAAGAGTTGTAGTAAATGAGCAAAAAGCGAAAGCGCTGTAAAGTGAGCCGTTGTTGCACTAAGCGGAAAAGTTCTTGGAAAATCTACAATCTGCCTCATCGTTATCCCACACAATTGCGACAACCTCATCTTACCCCTTCCCCATCAAGTTACATCTGTACAGCCTTACTAATGGACTAGTATAGCTGCCAAAATCCATCCCATTCAACGCCGATCGATCCAGCCCTCATCACTTTCGTAAGTGTCAACTACGGCCTTACACTGTTTTCTCCTCCTTCCAGCCATTTGTCAATCTGCCTCTCGTTGTTGCCGTTCTCCATTCTTCTCCTCTCTCCTTCTTCTCTTTCAGTTTCTTCAATCCGTCAATTGAAAAGCATTTTCGGCACCAGATCGGTCGTTGGTTTCATTTCTTATTTAAAATCTGATCGGTGGTATCAACTTCTCGATGGTTGTTATGTTTTGCTGTCATTAATTTTCATTTGGTCATTCCACCTTTGACCGAATTATCCAAGCTCTATTATAATATTGCACTGATCGGCTATTGTGATCTAGTCTGCAGTCGTAGAAGTTACCCATGCTCTTGGCTGTTCTAGGAGGCGTTTGGTATTACTGGATAAGATTCAGTAGAATTACCCATTTCCAACTCTTCTGATTAAATGTAGGCACTCGTTGTGAGGGAAATATATTTCATCGATCATTAGTGTTCTACTTTTTTATCCATCCCTCAGTTCATGCACAACTGAATATTTCAAATTGTTTTGCGAACAGAAGTTCTTTCTACATTTTCACTTGCTTTCGTTGCAATTCCGACAAATTACCTGGCTGATGTTCAGGATAAAATCGTTCAATTTCGACCAGATACCTGATTGACTAATTTCTACCTGTTTTCCTTAAATATTTTCTTAACGCAATTGGTAGTCTGAAAGGATTGTTCGGAGTGCCGGTACAAACTGGGCACCTCTTTTAACTGGACTGCCTACTTTCAGTTTTCAACGACTTTCTAATTGCAACTTCTCCAATTTCCATTTACTGTACGAATTTACTAAATTGAAGTACGTCTATTTTTACATCCTGTGAAAGACAAAAGAGTAAGGGATACGTTTGTTTTTTTATCAAACATTCTGCGTATCCAGATTTGCCATACTCTTTCCTGCTGTCTTTTTCTCGCTCTGTCACGTGCAGATTTGTTATGAAGTTCATTTTAAGGAACAGCTTAACGTCATAAGTTCGCAGTGGTTAAGGGAGTCTATTTGATGCGGTGGATTTAGTGCATGCAAGCTCATAGTGATGGCTTGGTGAGCATCTCACCAATTCTAGTCAGCGTGTGCTTGTTTGTATCTGTGATACGTGATGCTTGTTACGTATGCACCGTCACTCGTACGCAACAACTCACGCCCTAACACTTTTTTCTTTTACATGACTTCTTTTTCGCTACTTGACCTCGATAATTTTTGGAACGCTGCTGAGAAGCAGCAAGAGGTGAGTGACAAGTTGCACTAACAGTAGTTATCATTTGTTGACAAGAAATTGTCACTTTGCTCTCGAGATAGATAGATAAATAGATGAATGGATAGTTTCCCACTTCTACTACAAGCAAGTTAAGAGAGATATATAAGCGGAAGTGTTGGTGTCGTGTGTGCTACGCTGTACTATGTTGTATTGGTGACACACCGAAATAGGGGTAATCGTAGTATTGTGAAAAATAAACGTTTCTTGTCTTTTTTTTTACTTGTTAATTGCAGTTAGCTTTGTATTTTAATTGCCAGATATTGATTTTAGTGCATAACTTTGGAACCGGACATTCAGGATGAAATGTATCCTATTGTCACAGAATTTCTTCCGATTTTATAGCGTTGGAAAACTCATTCTCCTAACTTTTGAGAGAAAACTCATTCCGCTAACTTTTGAGACGTTGGAACTTTGAGTACTGTTGACAGCTTTTGTATCCTTGTTATTGACCGTGCATTTTCGATCAGACCCCGAACTATAGGTTGTAATAAAAAAGCTGGACTTACGTCTGTGGGCAGTTATTCATATGATTATGAAATTGGGCTGCCTTACTCCAATGCTATATGCTGGCACGTGGTGGGGTACGGTGTAATTATCGTATGAGATGGGTTTTGTTGGATACTGTACAATTTTTAATCTCCATCAGACACTTATGACTTTACGCAGTTTTCAGTCTTTTATAGATTTATCTATCACAACTCTAACCAAAGAATTATAGATATGGAGTGTTCAGAATGAGATTTCTGGAGAGGAATGCCTGAATTGATGCCATAATTCGTTCTTTTTAAGAGGGAAACATCTCGTCTTTCTGCTGTCTCCTCCGCTAGCTTGAAAAAAAAAAAACTACGAATTAGTAACGACAAGAAATTGAACTGTTCATCCATCATTCCATCACTTCTCCTTTCTCATCCTTTAATCTACTAATATTTCTTTATCGAGGACTCCGACATTCTCAGTAACCCTGTAGTCACTAGCTGGTCCCGTATCCCAATCTCCTTCTCCTCCCTATTTCCTTTCCGTTTTCTTCTCTGAACGCCATTCCTGTTCACCTACCTTTGTTCATATTACACCCAACCATTGCGAGGTGTCATTCCATTTCGTTCTTTTTTTGATTGAGTTGATGGTATTTATCGCAGCATTATGTTTGGATGTTGTTGTTGCTGTTGCTATTTGCAAGCGGAAGACGGGGTTCCAAAAAATGAATGGACGTTAATCCGGTTTTACCCATCTTTGTCGTGCGTGCATCTAGTGAATCTGCTACCATTTGTCAGTAAATGTATTACAAGATTTGGAGGAGTGATGCTTTGGTTGTATCATACAATGCAAGTTGTTCGTTGTTGTCCGTAGATTGATTGGTTCATTACTGATTGAACAGATTCCCCTTCATTTCTTTTATTTTTCTTGAGCATTTCTAGCATTTTAGATTGCATCATGAGTCATCGTTATTATTCGTATACCACCGTACTAATGCAGTAGTTCCTTTCTAAAGGTTAAAAAAAAAAACATCACTTTTCTTTAAAGGGAATCAATGATAAAATATTTTTTGCAGGGCGCTCTTTCCCTTTCGAATGATATGCTTTTATTTTCTCTCCTCTTCTTCTGTCAATTCAAATGAGAGATTAAGAAATATCGCTTGCGTGTAATTTCAAGTACTGACAACGCAGTAATGAGTTGTACTAAAATGATCGATTTTATTGATAAGATATTCATGATGAGTTTGTTGATAAGAAGCCAACTGTTAACTGAATAATAGTAAACACTGACAAGTTCTTACGAAAGCAGATATTCTATCTAACGATTAAAGACTTGACAATAAACATATGAAATTTACGAAATTTTCAAGCATTCAAAAACATGTTTCAAATTTGCAACTACCGAAAGTTAAAGCTCAACTTACGTGGTGGTACGGTGACCAAACAGATTTGTTATCATTAATTTGTCAATCTCCTTTTCTGCAAACTTTTTTTCATGGTGGCGATAACAAAGGTGTCGGTAACATACTGAAAGATATTTGACTGTGTTGATTGTTGTCGCTATCCTTTCTAAACTTTTCCGCAGTCCTACCTCTTCTTTCTCTGTCCCATTATTCTCTCCTTTCATTTTCCGTCGAAGTAAAAATTTTGGAATGGCTAAAATATCTCTCGCAAAATGAAGCCAATTAATTAATTATTTGTTGCGATGTGGTTAATTTTTTGAGTTGATCGTCTCTTGTTGGAATTACAGTGAATGTAAATTACGCACGAAAAAGGAAACGGGCCTGGTGATGATCCATCAAACAAGTCAAATCGAGCAGAGCTAATATCGATGTCTTGCTACTGATACCGTTCTTACTCCACTTTTTTTTTCCTAACTGCTCCTAAACTCGTCCTTAGTGTCATTTATATTCTTTAGTTTTGTCACACCCTGCCATCTATTTGTCGATATAATTATTTCATCTTTTGACAAATATTACATCACATGATATCAGTCTTTCCTTGTCTGTTTCCTCATTCCGTTGTTAGTCGTTTATTGAATCGTGTAGCATACAATGGCAACTTTGCTCTGCTGATGTTATATTTGTATTTTGTGGCTTAAGCTAAACTAAGCTGGTGAGGAAAGTCTAAAACTGCTTGTCTAGTTTTTCAAAGCATAATTCCAGACCCACCACCACTCTCTCCTGTTTTTTCTTTTATCACGTGATTAATTGGCCCTTGAACTTCATTTCTGCAAAATTGTTCCAGAATTTTTGGGTTTTTTTTTCCGGAATTTATAGTCCTTATTCGATATTACATTTTTCCCATTACGTCGCATCTCCCATGTGTATGCTTCGCAAACAATCTTTTTTCTTTCTCGTTTAACATCACTTGAAAACAACGGACTTCATCCGTTATACTCATTTTGAAAACATTTGAAAATTTTCGTGCTGTTTTAGAATTAAATAATCAAGAATATTCCATCAATATCGTATTTTGCTCATTACGGAAATACCATAGATTCCTTACACAGATTCTTCATATTCTGTCTACTATTGAGCACTAAAAAACATCATATTATTGCTGTTTTATAAAATTTGTTTGCAATGTTTTCTTGTCGGTTTGTTTCATTGCCTGGAAGGTAATTGCTTTGTGCGTTATTTTTCAACTCGGGAACGTCTACATATTGTACTTTGTACTGTTTCTCATTTTTAAGATGCGAGACACATCCCCTTTGATGATTGGTTAATTATTAACATCGAAGTCGGCGCAACAATTAATTTTCGTTACACAGAGTTGATACAATCAATGAAAGACATCTCTAAACCTTATATTTGCAGGGGTACGAGTCGGAGAAGCTCGATTATAAAGAACGTACGCAAATTTACGTGGAAATTGCGTCTTTAAGGCGCGTTGCCTGTTTATCCAGCGTATTTATTTTAAATTACTGCTACCAGTGCCTTGTGGTTTCCGCTCTTCCTCTCCTCTTACTACAAATATCAGCGATCGAGTTCTTGCTTGAAAAAAATTTCATCTTAATTTGCATTATTTATTTTGCTGAGAAAGTGTGCAATGCGAGAAGCATTAGAAGCATTCCAAGATGAGATGTTCTGGACGATCATCGTCGGCTTCTTCATTGCTTCAATTCTTGCATTTGCGATTGGTGCCAATGATACAGCAAATTCTTTCGGGACGAGCGTTGGAAGCAAGGTTTGTTGGACATGTTTAGAAGGATTTGATGATTTGTTCAGTTGAATTCCAAAAATAAGATAGGTGATTTCTTACAAAAAGGGAGAGATAAATGACGTTTAGACCTTATCCAAAAATGTTTTGAAATAGTGATGGCAGTCAGTTTGATAAATTTCAGGTGCTTACGCTGCAGCAAGCCTATTTACTAGCCTCCATTTTTGAAACCCTTGGAGCAACTCTGTTGGGATATCAGGTCACGGATACAATGCGAAAAGGCGTCATCGATTTGGCCGTTTATAATGGTAGCGAAAATGAGCTTATGCTTGGTCAAATTTCCGTACTGTCAGGTAGAGAGATATACACTTAATAGACTTTTGAGGTTGTGGAATTTGTGAATTCGTAGTTCCCGGTTCACCTGGCTTGCCGTAAAGCTTGTGTAGAGACAGTGTTTAATAACTTTGAGATATGCTTTTGAAGGCACATTACTTCTAATAGTGTTTTAATGAACCTTTTCTTCTGAAGGCGTCTATTTTAAATTTCAGAATTTACTTCTACCAAGTAAGTATTTAAAAAAAGGATTCAAAATTGGAATTTCATAAAATTAAAGTATTAAATGAATTTTGCAGGCTGTGGTGCGTGGCTACTTATAGCGACATTTTTGAAGCTACCAGTGTCAACGACTCATAGTATTGTCGGAGCAACTCTTGGTTATTCTTTATTAGCCCGTGGTACGCAGGGAATACGCTGGTGGCCAGTCATCCGCATATGTGAGTTACGCCACATCTGTGCCAAAGTAATTTCCAATCATTGGTTTTTTTTTTGTTATCCCCTCACACTTTGGTAATGTCTTCGGTTCGAAAAGAAATTGAATTTTAAAGCTTAAAAATCATTTTCACTTCGAATTTGTGAGCACCGGGTAGAATCGCACTGCAACCCATCCAGAAAACATTGTAATCAAACGATGGTTTTCAGTTTCGTTTGCAAAATTGCGATTGTAACTGCAATGTAACTAGTTTTAAAAGAAATGAGATTTTTAAAACCAAAGTTTAATACTTTCAGATTTACTTATGAATTATGTAACATTTGCTGAGTTATCTATTTCAGTCATATCATGGTTCCTGTCACCACTGCTTTCGGGATTCGTCTCAATTCTTTTTTATTCTTTCATTGACCATACTGTATTGCGACGTCGACGTCCTCTGCATTGTGGTCTAATTCTTCTACCTATTTTGTATTTCATCTGCGTAGCAGTCAACGTTTTTGCCGTTATATATAATGGTTCCGAATGTATGTTTTCAAGAAAGCATCTAATTATTAATAGTTTCAAAATCTTGTTTGCCGGAGCTTCCTTTCTTTACTGCTTATAAATTTTGCTGCAAATCCATAAATGTTTCCAAACATTGAGAGTTTCTGTCTCACGAAACTTTTATAACTGTTTATTTCTTGAAAAACAAACCATTTGCAACAAGGCCATTGTTTGCAGATATTATATTGAATTGAAATTTAGGGTACAGTGATAAAGTTTTGCAGTTTTGGGCTTCGACAAGATACCGACATGGGCTGTTCTGGCGATAACATTTATTGCAGCAACGGTTGTTGCATTGCTTGTGCATTTCATTATGGCGCCGCGGCTGAAAAAACGCATTTTAAGTGAGGCACTTTTTTCAAGCACAGATAGAGATGTAGTGGGACTGAATTTTCAGATTTCATTATTGCATCTGGTGATATCATTCTATCTCTCGAAAGCTTAAACTGTCATCGTTTAGCATGTAAAATCTTTTAAAAAAATATTTTTTCCATGTATATTTTGGAATCATAAAGTTAAGCAAAAAAGAGAAGGGTCAAAAATTCTAAGCGTTCCTTCTAGGGTTCTGTAATGATGGATTTCTGTTTCTATATGGATGGGATTTTATACGGTTCCTCAACTAAGTCTGAAAGATATGTGATTTGGTCTAACAACGAAAGCGGGGTAGATAGTGAAGCCGAGAAACTAAGAAGATTATCTGCATGTAAAAGAAGGAATTAATTTTCACTTAGTCTTTATTCTAAAATAGCTGTTTGATTTGAACTGTTGTTTCAGATGCGCGTTCCCTGCTGCATTGTGAAGACGGAAAACACCTAACACTGGGACCTACTAGCAGCAGAGAACAACAATTAGCTGAAATGTCTGTTGATTTGTTAAACAATAATGGTAACAAAGCTAATGTAACTATAATAGAGGAGGAAACTGGGATATTATCCAATAATCTGCAAATAAGTAACACCGATGGACATCACAGTTTGGGTACGAATATGGTACGACCAACGAGAAGTATCGAAACCTTCTTTCGCTCTTCCAAACCGGAAGATCCACAAGCATCTCAGCTGTTCAGTTTCCTTCAGGTGCTTACAGCTTGCTTCGCCGGTTTCGCTCACGGTGGCAACGATGTAAGGTATGAGCATTTCATTTAAGATTTTGTTGTTTTAAAATCCGATGAATCTAAGTAAACAACCTTTCAACTATTAATAAATTTGAAGAATTTTTGATGTGTTCAACTGAAGGGCGGATGTTACATGATTCTGTTGGTAAAGTTCAGGTCCCCTCTAAAATTTTATTATTTGTGAAATTTCTACTGAGAATTTAATTATGATCCGTATCTCGTAAAGTTCCATTTGTAATTGGTCAGAGTTTCAAAATCCCAGCTGTTGTGGTTTCATTTAGGAAATTTAATGTTTAGCAACGCAATTGCCCCGCTCGTGTCACTGTATGCCATTTACAAGGAGAATTCGGCGATGCAAAGATCTACAACACCTGTTTGGCTTCTGCTTTACGGTGCCGGTGGTATGTGCGTTGGTCTTTGGGTATTGGGACATCGGGTTATCTATACGGTTGGTGAGAATCTCACCAAAATTACACCGCCAAGGTAGGGTGAGAGAACTCTTTTATTGATCAAATATTGTCAATACCACTCATCAACATTGCATTTCTCAAATTTCCGTATTTTTTCTTGTGAAATCCAAATGTTTCATTGGTTCGACTTCATTCTTTTAAAATCTCCAATTAAAATTTCGATTTCAGTGGTTTTGCAATCGAATTTGGTGCTGCTGTAACAG